AGATGCCTGCTTTTACCATTTTTTGTAATATACCCCTGGATGACCTATCCAGAGTACCCGGGCAAAAGGAACTTCCATGGCATCTGTATTGGAAAAGAGAAAATCGCTAGTTTACAGAAGACATGCTCGTATGCATAGAAATCCCAAAGATACTACCAAAAACTTATCTCATTGAATAAACTAACTCAGCAAAGTTGAGGGACATAAAATCAACATAGAAAAATCAGAAACACTGCTATATGTCAGTAAAGAATCATTTATAATAGAAATCAAGGGCATTTCCAGTAACAAAAAAAAAAAAAAAAATCAGAATAAATTTACCCAAAGAGATGGAAGATCTCCACAATGAACACTGCACAAATGAAAAATTTAAGAAATTAAAGAATTCTGAATTCATGGATAGGAAGATAACTGCCTATATTACAGTGAGGGTTTAGATCTTGATTTCCCTTGGGGCCTTTCTGAGCTGTAGGCACAGTCGGGAGGGTGAGTGACTCTGGGTGGTTTAGCTGAATGTGTAATTAGGTCTGGTCAGAGGAGCAGCCACAGGGCAGACCCACAAAGGTATACCCTCCTCTCCATTCCTCCTTCCCCTCCTCTGCTCCCTGGCTGCTGTGACATGAGCAGCCTTCCTCCACGCCAGGCCTTTCCACCATGCAAGGACTAAAACTTCTGAAATGTCAGCAGAAAAAGCTTTCCTCTTTTAAATTACAGGTGTCAAGAATTTTGCCCCAGCAGTGAGAAGTGTGTAAAAAAATACCCAAACGTGAATTATATATTGCTTGCAACCAGTATCAAAATACCAATGAAGTTTTTTCCAAAGATCTAGAAAAAATGCAAATCTAAAATTTTATGGAGTCACAAAAGAACCCAATATTCAAAATTATCTCTAACAAATAAACAACAACAACAACAAAAAAGACTTGAAGCATTACTCTGTACTTTAAAATATAGTACAAATCTTTAAAATATACAACTGCATGGTTTTGGCATAGATACACAGACCAGTACAATAGACAGCTCAGAGAAAACCCATGCATAACCAACCACCTGATTTTCAACAAAGGTACCAGGAGCATGCATTGGAGAAAGGAGAGCATGTCCAATAAATGCTGCTAAAAAATTAAACTAGAACCCTTTCTTACCATTCCAAAAATTAACCCCAAATGGACTAAAGACTTAAATGTAAGACCTGTAACTATGAAACCACTGGGAGAAAACTTAAAGGGAAGCACTTTGGACATTAGAATGCACAAGGGTACTTTGAACAACACTGAAAAAGCATGGAAAATACAATTAAAAATAGATAAACAGGGTTAGGATGAACTAAAAAGCTTCTTCACAGAAAAAAAAAAATAACAGATTATAGGAACAACCTATAGAATGGAGTTGGTGTCCACAATACATAAGGCACTCCAAAAGTATTAAAAAGTAAAAATTAGAAATGGACACTAGACCTAAATGTTCCTAAAATGAAGACATACATATAGCCAGCAGGTGCATAAACAAGTGCACAGCATCATCAATCATCATAGAATTACAAATTAAAACCACAAGGAGATATCAGCTCATCCAGGTAAAAATAGCTACTATCAAAATAATAATAAGTGCTGGTGAGGATATGGCAAAAGGGAACCCTTAGCCACTTTTGGTGGGATTGTAAACCAACACAATCATCATGGGAAAAAAAGATCGTGGAATTCCCTCAAAATAGTAATGATAAGACTACTTAGGGGATCCAGCAATCCCTGTAAAGAATTTTTTCCAAAGAAATTGGAAGTGTGTTGAAGAGATGTCTGTATACGCATGTTCATCAGCTGAGAAATGGGTAAAGAAAACTAATAGAAAGTCAGAATTGATACAACTCAGCTATAACAAAAGAATGAGGTCCTTTTTATTTATAACATGAGTGAACTGAAGCTTGTGTTAAATGGAACATGCCAAATACATAAAGAGAAGTATCACATAGTCTCTCTAGCACGTGGAATCTAAAAGTATTTGTCTCGTGGGAGTTGAAAGCAGAAGGGTAGTGACCAGAAGCTGGGGACAGGAGAATGGAGGAATGGTGACCAGTAGGCGGTAAGTTATAGTTACACAGGAGCAAGATGGTCTGATGCCATTGCACTGCAGGATAACTGTAGACACCAGTAATGCACTGTTCATTTCTAAGTAGAAAGGAAGATTCTAAAGTATTTCCACCATAAAAAAATTGGGGGCACATTTACGCTTCACCTGATTTTAGCATTACACAATGAATGATCATAACATTCCATTAATATGCAATTTTTTTATATTTTAGGTATCAGTTTAAAATATTTTTTTTAAAATGAGGTGTTTTATAGAGAGAGCAAAGATAAGAAAATATTTGAGGATGACAGCTGGTTGGCTTTGACAACCAGAACTATAGGACAATATAATTTTCCTGTTTTGAAGCCATTAATTCTATGTTACTTGTGATAGTGACAATAAGATACTTACAAAGCTGGAAAGTGACTGAGGATTAAGTCATTAAAATAATGTGACCTACAAATTTTTGATTCTTCCCTATGAAGAAAGAACAAACTTTTTTCAAAACACTCATTTTTTTTTGAATAAAAGATCCTAACTTTATAGCTATATATTAATTGGAATGTCCCTTCAGTAATAAGTCCTGCAGGGAAATTCCTTGTTAAACTCCTTTATAATACAGATAAGAACACTGAGATCTAAAGAAGTGAAGTGATTAGATACTCAGACATTAGTGAAAGAAATCTAGAATGCATTGATATTGGTATAAAGGATGAAGACAGAAGGAAAAATGTAGTTTCTTCCCCTTTGCTTGACCGGCGCAGCCCCCGCAATGAGACAGGAGACGCTCTTGTGGGTAACAGGTAACTGCCGCTTTATTGTTGTGGGCTCTGGCTTATATATTCGGCCGTGACCAATCACAGGCTGCCACAAGAGCTGCTCACAAGGAGGTAGGGCTGGAATGGGATGCGGGCTCTGGTTAATATACCCAGCTGTGGCCAATCAGGGGTTGCCACATAGTCAGCACAGGGCGAATACGGAGTGAGCATGGAGTGGCTAATTTGGAGAGGGACGTAGCGCATTGCGGAAGCTGATGTGGTCCTTAGTCCCGGGTGGGGTATGGTATGTTGAGCGCCTGCGCCCAACATTGCTAAAAAATTTTAAAATTCCCCAATATTAGGCACATACTACAAATAGGTCACCCTGATTAGCAAAAGGAATAATTAGTAAAGTCTGATGGAGACTCCATCTGTTAGATTGTCAAGAAAAGGTGTATGTTGAGGAAGATTTTTTAATATATAGAAATATTTAAAAATAATAAAATAGATATTTATTTTCTGATTTCCTCTGTATTTGCTCCCATAACTTTTAAAAGATGGGATAATGAGAGATGCCGGCACAAAAATGGGTTCTTCTGTGTGCTGATTGTTCACTAACCAAAGACTGATAAAGATTCAGAGATCCTGCTGATGAGATGCTTCTGGATTGCTGCTGTGTAGGCAGTGCCCACACCCAGCTTCTGTTATAAAGTACGCAATTATTACAGCTTTGGAAATGCTATTTGTATCTATCACAAAATGCCCATTAAATATAATGACAGACAACAAAGTTCCAAGAATCCAGGTTTATCTGAGGCCATTTATATAAACCTCTGGAACTGACAACTCACAAAAGACAAGATAACAAAAATCTCCATATTCATTAATTCAGTAAAAGTCAAGAGATTCTGAATTGCAAGGCTTTTAAAATGGTTAGCTTTTAACATGAATTTGTGAACACTTTAAGTCAGTACAATATAGTACTTATATTACTGTCCCTAAGTTATAAGAATTAAACAACATGGAAAAATATGTTGTGTCAAAAAGGTCTGTAAAAGTAAAACTATTTAGAGGCTGGGATTATTTGATCCTTTTTAAATGCAATGGAAAATCTTAAAATTAATGTCTCTTAATCTGTAACAGGACAGCTCCCAGTTGCTGTGTTCCTTTCTAATTGAAATGCATAAAGGTGATTCTACACAATAACTTTATTTGTCATTAAATTTTGGATTTAGGTTAAATCTATTTGAATCATAAAAGCTGGTGGACAAATATCTTCATGGCTGCAATGCAAATGGAGATATTCACATATCATGAAATGCTAATTCTGGGACACTGGCAACAAATAATAATATTCACAAAAATTACTTAGACTGTTGTAATGAAATACATTCATCCAAACTGACATATACTTTAAGATGCGTTAGCTCCTCAATTTCTCATCCTAGACCATTATTCGCATCATCTAATATAATTCAAAATCCTTTTCCAGCCTGTGAGACTGAAATGAATTCACATGTTCATTTCTTTTTACACATTTTTGATTAATAATATCTCTTCTAATGTAACTCTACAGTCTAACATACACATATCATGGATATTTGTAATAAGTACACAATAAAAAGCAAAGACTATATTCTTCAGTAAATGATTCTGACTTTGAGAACTTTATAAAATTTGAAATTAAAGTTCAAAGTTTTTCACAGTTGCTGATGGTCCTTGATCCGCAGCCCTGACTCAGGCAGGTCATTGTGAAAGTGTAGCCCTAGGATTTAAGGTCTTCTGTAAAGACATCTCCCAAAGAAAACAAGCTGGCCTGAGAGGACTTGCAATGATGCCACTGAGCCATTACATTTTAAAAAGGCTCCCTGCATCTTTTCAGCCACTTCTCCAAAGGGGGAAATAATTCTGATCACACATATTTTAAACAGAAAAGGTGAAGTGCATAATTTTTCATTCAGCATCTTTTTCTTTTAAAAAGCCTTAAGCCAACATAAAGAAATTAAATTTTGTTTTCTCCCTTTTCTTTGTTTTTATTATTTTTTTAAATCTTAACTGGTATATTATGGTCAATGACAGAATGTTGTAAATTTAAAATATATGCAGATTTGTTTCTTCTAAACAAGGTGTGGGCCGAGAAATAACCCAAGCCCTGCAGTGTAGAACAACCCTCACCTTGCTGGTGTCAGTGTCCACATCTTTGATGCGTGTCCTTCCCACACAGCTGCTTGCCGCACACACACTCAGCATGGCCCCAAGTAGCGCTCTGCAGTCTCTGCATCTGCAAGGCACATGAAATGGCCCAAAAGTCACTGGGCATTACTTCTAATATGCCCATGGTCTGAGCTTAATGCCACACATAAACAGACTGTAAAGTACAAAATATAGTCTTTATGCACATCAACTTGCCCTGCTAAGATAAAGGGCTATGGTTGTTTTAGAAGAAAGAAACTATTTACATAGTGAAAAAAACAGCCAACCCTGGGCAGATTAGTCTAGTCCTTGAATAAATCAAAATATCATAACTTAAACTTGTGATATATATATATATATATATATATATATATGGTAGCTAATATGACTATACTAATTCTATTAATTCTTGAAAAAGAACAGTTAAAACACATGATTAGATCAATTTTACATGTCTATATCTGGTAATCTAAGCAACCCTTCTGAACATAATGATATGTAATATAACTATTGTTAAATTCCTTTCATCTTGTTTTGAAAGCCTGTATTGTTATTGTTTTGGGTTTTATGTACTTTTTTGTCTCTTTACCTCTTTTCTGTGTCTTTTTGTTAAATAAATATAGTAACTTAAAGTTACTGGTCAGTTTTCCTTAATGAATAAAATTTTACAAATGGTTACAAATTGAAAGAATGAAATAAAAATATATTGATATACATGTAGTAGATGCATGCATGCTTGAATATGTTGTGTATAATTCACTTTATGTATTACATATTTGTTGTTTGTTGTAGTCAGGGGTTACGAGGAGAACAATTACAACCAGGACCCAGAACTTATTCTTTTATGATGGTCATGGTCACCCAGAGTTAACAGAAGAAAGTGCAGAAAATCTGTCCACAACACTAAAGACTCAGAATATTCAGCCAAGGGCCTGGATCCCACAGCAGTGTCCTGCATGAGTCCAGATGAAGACCCAGAGCTCAGGACAGTGCCTCCCAGGAGTCCAACTGGAGGTCTAGAGCGCACTAGAAGGATTCACACCAGTCTCTTTTACAGATCTGTGCTGGGAAGGCAAAGTTCAGCTGTGCAAGCTAGAAAGTCTATGCCAGCAGGGTGAAGGAGCTATGTTTGTAGGTTGAGGGTTCTACGCTGGAGCTGAGAAGTCACACAACAAGACCAGGGCTGTCCTGAAAAGCACCACAGCCATCCTCAGCAACATGGAGGTCCCAAACTCCTCTGACCATGGGAACATGCCAGGAAGTCAGCGTGACTCTCCTGGAGATTAAAAAGCACACGGCTTCCCCTCCAGAGCCAGGAAGCGATGTTCAATGTAAGGAGCAAAGCTCCCCCAAAGTGAACCACAGCCACTCTCACCAACAAGGTCCCGAGCTCCTCTGAAGACAATGGTCAGACTCAAACTGGGGAAACTAGTCATGACGAGCTCCTCCAGAAGAACCAGCAGCTCAAACAGCAACCTCAGGAGAACTCCCAACACCTAACTCTTCCTCTTCTTGTCTCCTTTTATGCTGGTAGCTTCCCCCAGGTGGGCCGTCTACACTCAGCACAGTACTGATTTAATTCAGGTGGTGGTGTTGACCACCAGTTTTTAATGCGTAACATTGTTATTTTTATGTGTAAAGTTTATGATGCAATAATCTCTAGGACATTAAACAAGAACTGTTAACGAACTTTTTTTTAGAAAAATAGCTTAGCATTTGATGAGGGAAGAGCTCAGCATTTTCTATACATTTCATTATTCCAATTTTCTTATGTGAATGCATCACTATAAATTTAAAATATTTATTTTAAAATTTAATATAAAATGAAAAAAATTTTAATCCTTTAGTACTTCAAGGAGTCTGAAACTTTCAAAAATAGTGACTCTAAGGTTAAGGAAAAGGAAAATCCAGTGATTTTAATGGCAATCCTATTTTACGGTGAGTGTCTTTAGTAATGGCTATCAACCTTGGTTCTCTCTCTGACTCTCAAATGTGTGTGTCCCTATTAATCTTGAATTTGGTTTACTTTCAATCTTATCCTTTTTCCTCCAAATCATAATACAGATTTTCATAAACATCCAAAATTTGGATACTAAAGTATACTAAAAATATCTTGTGCTCAAAAGTAAGCAATTTTCTTTCCCTCTCAAATTTTAGTTTATTTTTAACTTTAAAAATGATCCTTTGTTAAGGAAAAACAAAATATGTTTGGCCAAGGATCATTTTCTCAAGAAATTTTAAATGCACAAAAGCAAGGGTGTGTGTTTAAGTATGAATAACTGACGGAAAGGATTATTTTCAGTGTCCATGATACCTTAATACCACTTGTTTTAACAACAAGATTTGCCATTAGTGTACTTCCCTGCAAAGTAGTCTTTAGTAAAATATTTTAAATAGACAGTTAGATGTGATCACATATGCTATTAGTCTCCAAAGACTCCTGGGGGATACTTTTAGCAGTGATACTTCAATGCCTGCAATTTCTTTTCTTTTTGAAATTTCCATTACTTTCTCAAATATTATAAATTGCCCAACACACAATAAAAGCCTCAAACTGAGAAGCTTTTGAAAGTTAAAGAATGAGCCATCATCTGGAAATTTTACAACAGAAGTCATCTTGATTATGTGATGTGTGATGCAGAAATGACATTTATGTAGCAATTCCAAAATAAAATGTTACACAGTGGAATGTCTACTGAAGGAGCGGAGCCTGGCCACTCTTTCTGACACACTGCATGACCAAGAAATGCTTTGCTTCCCTCCTGGAAAAAGCGAGAACCTGAGTGAAAACCTAAGAACAGCTTTGAGTCTGAGTCGGAGAACCAGAGCCTGGGTCACCAAACTCTTTTCTTGACCCTGTTTAGGAACTAGGTGTAAACACACAGAGCAGCGAGATATCTGGTGACTTACTTAACCCTGCCTGTTTTAAAATGCAAAATGCCATGCTAACTTCTTCACAGGTGATTTTAATCTAGTTTCTTGCTATGTTGTTATGGCTGGCCCTGAGCTCCCAGGCTCTAGAGATCTTTCTGCTCCAGCTTCCCAAGAATAGGCGCACAGGCATACTCCACTACCCCCGGCTTGATCCAAGTAATTAGAATCTGAATCACTGTTCACTGAATCTCACTTGTGTACACGTATGCAGGAATCTATCTTCATTTCCTCAACCTTAAGAAAATAAGATCATTTTATTCATTTTTATGTACATGGCTCCCTTTGAGATCCAGATATATATGTATTTAAACATACTGTAACAGTGACGTGATGCTTACATTTCTCTATTCTATCCAGTTTCTAAAACAGATATTCAAATCAGGAGCTGTTCTAACCTAGTCTTGTATAATTAAGGCTCAAATTCTTGTGAATTTAGAATCTGAAATTCCATTGCTGCTTCCAGATCTGCGTGGGTTTTAGTAAAACCCAGAACACGCTGGCCCTTACATGCTGGTGGCTCTTAACTACTTCCTCATTCTGCATATACTAAATTGGTGCCACTGCATTCATGCGCCATGTCTGACGTCCCCTAATTTAATTGAGCCATGAAAAATAGCCCAAATGTGGGGGGCAGCTGAAGCTGAAGATCGATCATCTGTGCAGGGCTGCCCGGAAAACAGGAGGTGCCTGAGTCAAGGCAGGTGACCAAGTCATTAGCCAGAGAGGTTTCACCTGACACCAACCTGCTGCGTGTGTAAATGAACACACTGCAGTCACTGGGTGGCTCTTTTCTCCACCCAAGAGAGAGGGCTTCCCCTGACCTTAGCTTTCCGTATTCTCACTTTTGGTTTCATTTTTTTTCTCTTTTATTTTTTATTGTAAAAACAAAATAAAGGATAAAAACGATGTAGAACTTCAAAAAATTAGGAAATTAATACTCAATGCATTGCATATTACTATCTTGAAAGTAGTTGTTCAGATTACAAGATTTAAGCATAAAAACGATGAACTAGACAATAAAAACACGAAGTGTTCTTTTGATGTACTAACACATAGGTAGTACAGTTGTCTATCTCGAGTATGTTTACATACACACACATGTATGTCCACATTGTATCCGTGTAATCTTTTTCCTTCTTCCGTTTCTCCTTCCCTCTATCTTGGTGGTTCCTTTCCTTGTGAGCACTTTCTTGCCTTTTATTTCCATGTTCACAACCCTCCACTCGGGAGTTCTTGAGAGTTTTGTGGTCAGTGGCACCCAAACATGTCTATCCCTGCTCCTAAGAGAGTTTATAAACCTCACTTCTAATCCCTGCTTGAAGTTTCACTTGGACCCAGAGATCAAACTTCTTGTAAAAACCAAACTCTCACATCAGAATAAAACTATTGTCCACAGCACACCGCTGCCTACACACTACTACCTTCGCTTAGGCCAACACCTAAGTGGGCTTTTGTGTTCCAGGCCTCCTCGATCCTGTGAATTTGTCATCCTGACCATCACCTTGGGGACCACGAATTACCACAGTGGTGTGAATTAAAGTCTTAAGTTTCCCCTTTAACCCATGAATCCATGATGTCTTACACTTAAACCCACGTGGGCTATAGCGCTTGGTTTGGCATTAGCACACTCTTTCTTAATCACTTGGGCTCCTAACATCTCCTAGAAATAGACATTGACCCTATACTTGAAAAAAAAATTTTTTTGAGGCTTGCATTTTCAAATATCTTTATTACATATTTGATAAAATACTGAACAATTATTAATTTACTGAAAGTCTTTCAATATAAACTATTTTAACTATGATATTTTCCTTTGTACATAAATTCCTTAGTTAAATGACTTATCAGTAATATGATACAGATAAAAAGATTTATCTGTACTTGTTACAAGCACTTAGAGTCATGAAAACAGTTTCTGAGTATGCAGACTTTCTTTTTATTAATTTAAAGAGAAAGAAACAAAAAAATACATGGAGAAAAAAAGGGCAGAAATAGTACAGAATTACAGAAAAATAAACAGTAAGAAATCACCAGTTGATAAGTTACATATTGTCATCTTAGAAATAGTTGTTCAGGTTACAAAGTTAAAGCACACAAAGTGACATTCAAATAGTGACACTGCCAACAGTTCTGCTCAGTGATCCAACAAAAACTTAGTCATAAGGTTATCAGTCCCACACACTTGTTTTTTATCTTAAAGAGAGTAAGATTAAACAGAACAAAACAGTTCGAAAAAGAAACAATTTAAAGAAATACAGATTTCAAAGCAAGGCCACTGGAGACCTTCACTGTCTATCTTATTGTCTCTAGTTTTCTTCCAAATAGTTGTCCCCATCTTCACTTCTTGATAATTCACCATTTCTATGTAACAAAAAAAGTGAGCATTTTTAAATTAATGATGAATAATAAATATTATCTAAAAAGACATGTAACATCTTATATTTCTTAGAAATATTAAAAATTATATAGTATAAGAACATACAATATTTTATATAATTGGTTTGTCTATTTAGTAATTGTTTTCTTAAATGACAAAATTTCTACACCAGTGTAATGGATTTGTGCTTGATAATGCCTATGACCTATGCTCTTCAATATCAACATTGCTTATTTATTTTCCTTTAAATATATATATTAGTTGTTTAATAATATTATTAAAATAATTGAGCGTATGGAATTTTTCATGATTAGAATGCTCATTACACTCACCTAACACCATTATTTCCGAAATTCCTCCCCTCAGTTCTGTGCCAGTCACCTTCTATACATATAATGAAAGAAGCGTCTAGTGAAAATAGTATCCTCGTGAGACTACAATATAGTAAATATTTACTAACTGGAAATCTATACTTCAAAATCTGCACAAAACTTTGCACCATTTCAGATATTCAATGTGCTCCATTTTTACAAAAACTGGGACTAAAATAGTTTGCATCAGAGGATGAAAACACAAGTTTTTGAAATTAGATTGAAGCAATGTTGCCCTGAATCCAAATACATAAATAAATAATAAAGTAACTGGATAGAATGTACATTTTGCTAGATCTGGCTGATCGCTTATATTTTTAAATTCCTTTGTAACAACTGCTTTTTGTGATCTATCGCAGTCTCAGAACCTTGAGAGCCTGATGTCTTAGCAAAGATTTAAACTCTGCCCACCATCATGCAGCAGTCACATTGGCCCTGCTTGAAAAAGCTTTAATAGAAAAGCGGTCATAAATCAAGAGAAAAACTCAAGGAAGATGCCCTTAGGAATTAACTTATAGAAAGATAAATTATTCCAGCCAAAAAAGAGGCATTTGAGCTCTGTTTTCTGTGTGTTTTAAATAACTAACGCTGTATTTATTGTTTTTTTCCTTTCCAGTGTAAGTGAAATAAATTTAATACTAGCAGGCTATTGCAAATTGACAATTTCTATGAATAGGTCTTAGTAACAGGGTTTCAGATTTTTTGAAATAACGTTTCTAGCACAAGTGAGAATACTTCCCTTGTACGTTCAGCCCTTCTGAAATTAACACAATAGGTAACAAATAGGTCAGCCCTCACCACTCGGCCAA